TATTTTATTAAATAAATGTATATATTATAATACAAATTTTTCTTAAATTAAATAATTTTATGTTTAAATAGCAATTTTTATTTGAATACAAAAACTGTATAATAAACAATAATAGAAAAAATAAGTGAAAAAGTTGGCCAATTACAAATTTTACATTTAATGGATTAATCTACATACATAATAACTTAATTTTAATTGATCGATAATTCGTTAATAGTTTCACAAATTCTTTGAATTTTTAATTAAATTTGTAATTATAAAAATTCGTTTTCAATAATTTTTTATTATTATCGACAAATAGACGGAGTTATTGAGCTAAATTTATTTATATATTTTTCTAGCAGCTTAAAACTCATTAGTTAAAATATAAATAAAATTCTTTTCAATAATCTTTTTTTTCAACCGTCAATATTCAATTTAAAAAATTATTTTTATGTTACACTAAATTAAAAGGCATAACAGTACAGTATAGTTAAACGTACAGTTAACATATAGTTCGTAGAACTTTTTAGTTTGTTACATAATTTATTTTTTGAATTGCTTTCATTATTTTTTACGATGCCTAACATGAATAAAGTTGATACTCCAGTTAAAAAAAGTGTTAATTCAAGTTTACTACATGTTGAATATAATTTATCTGACGTTATGAAAAAACTCAAATCAATGAATTCGTCTCAAGATATCCAAAACAAAGCGTTAAATGAAAAGCTAATTAATTATGAGACTAAACTTAGCAATCTTAATTCTTCGTTAGAAGGTATGATAAAATCTTTAAACATGTTATGGGAAGAAAACAAAGTCTTAAAAATTGATATAAACTTATTACGTGAAAAAATTTCGTTGTTAGAATCGACGAATAGTCCGATTTTTAATCCGATATCTTCCAATTAAATAATTACCGAGGCTCAAAATAGGGTTTTAAAACAAAAAAATGTAATTTTTTATAATATTATTGAAACGCCTAATGAAACTTTAGAATCCTCTTGTAAAATCGTTAGTGATTTAATAAAAGATATTTCTTTGGATTTAAAAGTAAATAGCGTAAAACGTCTGGGCAAACCCCATCATAACAGAATTAGACCAATACTTGTTGAATGCGATTCTATATCTGACGTTTCTAAGGTATTAAAAAATAAATCTAAACTTCGAGCAATTAAAAAATGGGAAAAAGTTTATGTCAATGCTGATTTAACTTACAATCAAAGAATTCATATAAAGAATCTGAAAAATGAACTTAACCGTAAACGTTTAGCAGGCGAAGCAAATTTGATTATAAAATTTGTCAATGGTGTACCTACTATATGTCCAAAAAATTAATTAATCCTTTTTATAATTCTGTAAGTTATAATGATCAATTTCATGATTTTTATTCTTTGTCTAATCATAATTTATCGTATTTTAATTGTTTCATAAAAAGTAAAAAAAAAAATGTTGTTAATAAGAAAAAAACTTTCACTGGTTTATATCAAAATTTAAGAGGTTTGCGAACTAAAATTCACAATCTCAAAACTAGTATTCCAATTATTAATGTTGATTATTTTTTGTTAACTGAAACTTGGTTAAATGGTTCTATTTCTGATTCTGAACTAGGTTTTGATAACTATAATGTATTTAGATATGACCGGTGTATGAGTACTAGTACGCACAATCGAGGTGGTGGTGTAGCTATCTGTGTACACAAACGCCTTTAATGCTGAAATATTATCAATACCAGTTATAAATGTTGAACACATTTTTGTATTAGTTAGAGTAGGGAATAGTCATAAATTTCTTTTAGGAACTTGTTATATTCCCCCTTCTAGTCCTCCTAATTTGTATGAAGCTCACGTGGAAGCAGTAGACTCTTTGTCCAGTTACTTAATGACTAATAATACTCACTTTATATTAGCTGGTGATTACAATTTACCCGGTGTAAAATTTTCATGTGATGATACTGGTCTTATATATTCTGGTCATAATCTACCAGGTGCTAATATAATCTTTAACAAATTTTCGTTTTTAAATTTATATCAAAATAATACTGTGTTAAACGACTTTAATAATTCTTTAGATTTAGTTTTTGTTAATAATAATTCAACTCTGGTATCTCGGTCTAATGATAATTTAGTTTCTCCCGATAGGTATCATCCATCATTATTAATTAGTAATGTATACAATTATGATAGTTATAATTCAAGATATAAGAATAATACATGGTATTATGACTTTAACCATGCTAATTTTCCTTTATTAGTTAATTTATTAAATGATGTAGATTGGTCTTGTCTTTATAATTTAAATGAAATTAACTCAGCATTAAGTAAGTTTTATGAAATAATCTCTAGAGTGTTAGATGCTAATGTGCCTAAAATCTACTCTTATAAATCTTCTTTTCCACTATGGTTTTCAAAAGAATTAAAGTCCCTTATACACAAAAAAAAATATTTGCATAAAAAATTTAAAAAATATGGATTACAGTCAATCTATAATGAATTTTCATCTACCCGTGCAACTTGTAAATTTTTATCTAAGCAATGCTATTCTGATTATTTAAATAAAGTTCAATACAGTTTAATAAATAATCCTTAATACTTTTGGAAATATATAAAGAATTGTAAAAATGTAAACCGACTACCTAATGTAATGAAGTACGAGAATTCGCGCTTTGATAATATGAGAGACATTGCTAATATTTTTGGTGAATATTTTGGTTCAGTATTCTCAGCACATAATACTGATCCGTTGTCTTTGGATAATTACGAAGGTGATAAAATTGATTTTTCCAAGTGTGATTTATCTTTATCAGATATTTATGAAGGTCTTTCTCATCTTAAAAATAGCACTTCAACTGGACCTGATTTAATTTCTGAAATATTTCTTAATAATTGTCGTTGTGCTCTTGCCCGGCCGATTCACTTCCTTTATTCCCTTTCTTTATCATCTGGTTGTTTTCCAGATCTTTGGAAATTTAGCTTTATATATCCTATTTTTAAATCTGGTGATAGAAGTGAGGTAACTAATTATCGCCCTATATCTAAGCTTAATGTCTTACCAAAGTTATTTGAAAAATTATTACTACCTAAGCTTGCATATACATTTCAACCTATTTTAGATAATAATCAACATGGCTTCCGTTTATCAAAATCAACTATAACAAATCTTCTTATTTTTACACTACTTTAATATCCGATATAAGCTCTGGAGGCCGCGTAGACGCTGTGTATACTGATCTCAAAAAAGCTTTCGATAAAGTTGATCATTCAATTTTGTTAAAAAAGCTAAGACTTTTGGGTGTAGGTAATCCAATGCTTGCGTGGTTTTCTTCCTTTCTCAAAAATAGAAATCAACAAATCAAAATAGGTAATTTTACTTCGAATATAATTAATGTTACTTCAGGTGTACCACAAGGTGGCCATTTGTCTCCTTTACTTTTTATCGTTTTTATTAATGATTTATGTCGAATTTTTCAACACTGCAACTATCTGCTTTTTGCGGATGATCTTAAGTTATTTATGACCATTCAATCAGTTGATGATTGTGGTAAATTACAATCAGATTTAGATAAATTCAGTTTATGGTGTAAAAAAAATGGATTAGTAATTAATACAAATAAATGTCATCAACGAGTAAATGTTATACATTTACTCGTTCTAAAAATGTAAATATTAATCAGTATACGATTGATGGTTGTAATTTGCTTAATGTTTATAGCATTAAAGATTTAGGAGTTATATTATCCAGCGATTTATCTTTTTCTAACCATATAGATTATATTTACAATAAAGCCTCGCGAACACTTGGCTTTTTGAGAAGAAATTGTAATGAATTCAATAGTATTTTGTGTATCAAAACCTTGTACATTTCTTTGGTAAGATCAATTTTAGAATATGCATCTATTATTTGGTGTCCATATAAAATAGGTGAAATTAATAGAATAGAATCTATACAAAGACGTTTTTTACACTTCATTTCTTTTAAGTCTAGGGATTATAATGTGTCGATCGATGAAATACGAATCTCTCTTGGTTTAACTTCCCTTGCTTACAGGAGAAAATGCAATGATGTTTTTTGGATTTATAATCTCCTTAATAATAATGTAGATTGTCCAGAAATTTTAAGTCTAATTCCTTTCAATGTTCCTAATTTTCATCTCCGTTCTACTAATTTATTTTATGTTAACTCATATCGTCAGAATTATAGTTATTATTCACCGGTCAATAGAATGCTACATTTTTGCAATTTAATTAAAAATTTTGATTTCTTTAATGACCATTTAACCAAGTTAAAATCTATTTGTAGCGATGAATTTTAATTATTAATTTTGTATGTTAATAATTTAAACTTCTATGTATGCTGTACTAATTTAATTATTTGGATATTTTGTATTTATTTTCTGTACTCATTGCCGTCTGTGGCGTACTCAATATTTATTTGATTTTTTTTTCTCTGTCTGATTATATTGTGTCTTGTATATTACAAAAAATAAATATTGAAATAAATAAATAAATAAATAACCTCTTTTTTCGCCCATTTAAAATTTTTTAAATAGCTATGTAGAATAAAAAGCTATTGGCAATCAAAATAAAATAATAGCCCATTTCCAAAAAAAAATTAGTTTCCGGTTACGCCATTGATGTGTTTTAATGAATCCATATTTAACAGATTTGGCGAACAGTATTAAAAACTCTTAAGCAGTGCCCAGGAGCTGAACACACAACAAACGGCTTTATCAGTGTCAGTGTGTGTATGAAATTGTTCTTTGATGAATAATAGTATCATAGTTTTAGTGTTTTGGTTATAAATAATAATAAAAAAAAAGATAATAAATGTGTTTATAATTTTTTTATTGCTTTGTCATAACTGAAAACAATTTTTTCTTTTTTTCAAAAATAAAATTTAAACTTTTACTGAATAAAACATTATTACTATCATCTAATAAGGATTTTTTTGAGGGGGCTCAAATATTTCATTTTATTTTTAAGATTAAGTTTCAACCAGTAATTGCTGTATATCTTCTAATTCTGAAATTTCTTTTTCCTCGTATATTACTTTCCTCGTGTTTAATAATAATAAAAACAATGCCATAAAATAAAATGACTAAAATAAATTTTATAATACATTAAGTCCCGAATTCTAGTAATAAGGTTGATTAATCCACTACTTAATTAATTATAACTAATGAATTTTATATTAAATCTCTTTTAAGAAGAAAATATGTTGGTATTTAAAGGATATTAAATTATTAAATTAAGTGATTGGTTGTCTTGAAGTTTTGGGCTTAATACCTTTTAGGTTTCAAAATACAATCTATGCTCACCACTAACCTCTTTTGTACACTTTAATCGCCATAACTTTTATAGATGCTTCACCGGTTAATCGTATGCTATCATTGTCAGTCAAAGTAATTTAATTGATAATTTTGATTTCTTTCACGATTACTTAACCAATTAAAAGTAAGTTAAAATAATAAAATTATAGTATATTTTAATTTATATTGTATTGTAATTAATAGAATTTATTAATTAATCTATAATCTATGTTCTTATACACGTTAATTCTTATAATAATAATAATAATAATAATAATAAAAATTGAATAATTTTTTAATACTTATCAATTTTCAATGTTGTTGCCTTAAGCCAATCTAGGTTTTCCCAAGACTCATTAAATATTTCCGCTTAGAGATGGTATTGCAATCAACCCTCCTTTGTTTTATTTACAATAAATTAAATACATTTAATATTTCTAGAGAGGATATATAGCGCTATCTCTACGGGTATAAATTAACAAAAAATCGGGTGCCAATTGTCTGAATGCCGTGGCCTATTTATGTGTATTTAATCTATGCCTGTGCATTCATAATGTGTAGTTGGTTGTCCAAGATAATGATTATAACTTGTTTTGATAGTAATAGCACAGATAAGATCATCATCTACGCTGTGATAATAGATATTACATATTGATGTTTTAAATTTTAGTAATAATTCAAAAAATTTAATTTGAAAATTCAAACGCAACTTTGATTTATTTTTATTTCATAATGATACATTACATTGTAATTTAAACATTTTTCATTAAGACAAGTATCATTCTAAAATTAAAACAAAAATTATTAAATTTTCATAAAAAAAAATGAATAATTTATTAATAAAATCGTTTGCACATCTAAAACGTTCATCATGGGTAAGTTAATCTCATCCATTCAAATACATTTAGATGAATAACAATTGTTTTTAGTGGTAGTCAGTTAATTCGTTTATTAATATTAATCCATTCAGTAATATTCGAAAATATTTCTGTGCTTTGTAATCCTTTTTAGTGATAAACTTAATATATTATTTTTTTGTTTTTAAAGAGCCTCTAATAATTATAGGATATTAAAATCTTTTATATTTAAAGAGATGAAATTCTTGAAATGGGAATATTGTGTTTTAAAAACAATAAGAATATATTTTATTATTTTGGTATCAATATTTTAGCCTGTGTTTTTACTATGAGTTTAGTTAACTAATGTATCAAAATATCTTACTGTAGAATAAATATACATTATTTTGTAGACACAAAGAGTTTTCATCTGATCAAAAAATGTTCTATATTCATTTCAATGATACGCAAACTATTCAGTTATGTAGATGATATATTCTGTAAAACAGTCCTTTATTAAAATATAATAGTAATATTTTAGTATAATGAAATATCATTTTAAATTAAAGATATTTTACTATTTTTAATAATTGCGAATATAATCTATGATATTTAAGAAAATGTTGATATAATTGGTGTAGTTTTTGAACTTAGTGCAAAAGGGTTGTATCTTGAAAAAAGTAGTTTTGAGATAAATAGCTTCAAGGCATGTAACTTCCATAACAGTTTGACACAGTATCATGTTTCCCTTAACCACAGATTACATTATCAACTTATATAAAAGGGTATCAGTATCTGAATCTCAAGTGTATGGTGACGTAGTAATAAGGTTTGTCTCTACCACACCTTAGTTCGCGGGATTTAATCCCATACCGTACTTCTTTTTTCACACATTTTCCAGTACACATTCTATGACTGGCTGTTAATCTCTGGTAGCTTTGTTAAGTTTTAGTTTTAGTTAGTTATTAATGAGGTAGATCTAATGTCCATGCACTCAGATTTAATGGTCCATAGTGCACACGTCATACCAAATGGTCTTGATTCGGTTTATAGTCCTAAGTGTTATTACATTATACCTATAATCATATAAGGGTGGACTATCAAGTCACTCTCTGTGGATGTCCAAGGAGTCCTGTCTTTCTGGCAAAGTTGTGTATCTCTGGATCTTAGCTGTGTTAAGTTACTCTGTTATTTATTTCAAGTAATCTTTTATGCAAATTATTTGCATATTTACATCAAAAATAATAGACTATATTCAATTTTAAATATCACAATATATTATGTTAATATATGGCCCTTATGTACTAATAATAGAAAATAAATATATTTATGGCTAATAATAATTGAAATACTAAATTTATACAAATATAATAGGTCCATTTATAATAAACTAATATCAAATCATTTGTTATAGAATAATATTCATATTCAATCAATATCATATAGTGCTGTCAAAAATTATCCTCAACATGCTAAAAATACTTCCAAAGATACAAATGTAGATCTATTAAGAAATCGCCTCATATATCAATCAAGGAAAAGAGGCACATTAGAAAACTGCATTATCTTTTCTACATTTGCTGATAAATACTTGAAAAATTTTGATGATGCCCAACTGAAGAAATATGATGCGTTGATTAATAGTACTTTTGATGAATGGGAATTATATGCCTGGGCTATTGGTTCAAAACCTAGCCCAAAAGAATTTGATAATGATGTTATGCACCTACTTGTCAGTCATACAACTAGAGAAAAAAATAATTCTTCTTAAAGTGTCTGCAGCTTAGTAATTTTAGTTTCTATATTATATTTAAATTTTTAAAATTCAGTTTTCTAATATATGAGTTCTTGTTAAACACTATTTTGTTGAATTTTGACTTGCATGAATTAGCCGTGTGTTTTGTTATTTTTTTATAATTATTTATATTATAATTGTTATCTATTAGACATTTTAATAGTTATTAAATTTTGTTTGGTAAGAATTTAGCATTTGTCAAGTAGTGATTTTTTTATAACTTATTAAAAGTTCATTAATATTATTTAAAATTAAAAAAAAAATTTGAATGTATATATTTTTATTTTAATACCCGTAACAAAATATAAAATTTATTTTAATTTTATGTATCAAATCACACAAAACTAATAGTGAAATATACTATTCAATATATTTACAGTTTTTCTATAATTATGATTAATATATTTTATTAAATGTAAAATATTAAACAATGACAATCTAAATAAGAAAGTTAGTAAAGTGATATTTTGAAACCTTTAAAATATAGTACCAGGTTGAATTTAATTTATTCAAATGTTATTATATGAATAGTCTAACACAAAGTGTCAAAAATATTTTATGGCATTGAGTATAGATATTATTTACATTCATTGTTTAAGGTATGGAATTAATTTAGAAAACTGATTATACCAATAATGAATATTTATTTCAAAATTATCATCACTTTATTTTATCACTTTTAGTTTTCATATAATTTTATTGATTTAAAATAAAATTGTATAACAATACTAAGTTTGAAGTAAAACTCCTGAAAATTGTTTAAGTGACTTCTATTATGTGCTGAATCATTAATTTATTTGAAAAAGAAATTTTTTGATTTGAAGGGCTCTATTCTAGAAGTATCAACAAAATCATTTTTTTTTTTTTTTATTAGCTTTAATTATGAAAATATTATAGCTCGACAATTAACAAAATCATTAAAAGCAAACATTACATCTCTTAATTATAAATGTTAAAGTTTCTTATAGAATTTGAAATTAAAAAATTAATTCTTTGAATATTTCCAGTATCTTTTTATGCTTTGTAGGATATAAATATTGCACTGTCAGTAATTAATTGTTTATGTTTACCAGACTACCACCAATAACTGATGTGATTGTCTATCAACATTTTTCAATTATATAAAATTTCATGTATTATCTATTTACAAAGAATGAAAGATACATTATTAATATAAATGTTTATTGCATTATTTATGTATTGAAAATTACACATTTGTTTCAATTACAAATTAACAATTTTTGAACTGTAATTTAGCATAAATAATTAAATTTATACTTAATATATAACTTCAACTAATTAAATTGAAGAATTTCCTATAAATCTAGAGTATATCTATTAAAAATGTATATTGAAATAATAAATGTCTGATTTCTTTTTTTATGATGCAAATTTGAACCCTCTATCCTTGTAAGCTATTTGTCCAGTTCGAATTAAATTTTCTCGACGATCCTAAAAAAAAATGTATATATATTTATACTACAAAATAATAAGTTTAACAACTTAAACAAAGTTTAAACAATCAAATTTAACTTTAAACAAATGATATTAATTTTATCAATTAATTTAAAACAAAACTAAGTATATTTTATAAAATATTCCTATTTTTTACATATTAATCCGGGGTACATATTTAAACTTAAATATATCCATTACTTTTAAATCAATAATTAATCTATGATAATAGTTTTGAAGAATCAACAGGAAATTTCATAAAAAAAGAAATATGTTTGTTGGCACTGGATTTGCATACTCTTTATTCAAGGTTTACACTCATAATTAATTAAGAGTAATAGTATGACAGCATTATTTTAGTATTATTAGTATTAGTATTAACTATTCCCAAGCGGCAAATGAATATGTTTAGAAAATTAAATGTTAGATTCCTTAATAAAAAATACATACTCTTTCTTTTTTGATAAAGTAGGTCAATGTACCAAAAGGTACAACAATGAACAAAAAACCAAGTAATGATGTTTTAGGAGTTGGTCTAAAGAATTCATGTTGTGTAGCTTTTAATGACATATATCTCTGAATACCAGCATCAAACTAAAACAATGTATACAGTAGTTTAGCAATTAAATACCAAATTTGTAATTTTTCAAATACCATAAATCCTCCTTCCATTTTCATATTTCGATGGGGATTTGTTAAATTTTTTATGTATTCTTGAGTAACAGCCTTACGCATTTCATTTTTTTTGCGAATAATTTCTGGGTCAGTAATAACTTTATACGGTGAAGCATGAGCCATCTTAAACTAATTTTCAACTAATAATTCAAACAAATAACTATTAAAATTTAACGCTAAAATTCTCTATAATAGTGTAACTTTTGCAGAGAAAAAATAAAATCTACTAATTCTTATCTATTATGATTTATCAAATCCGACAAGGTTAAAATTAGCGTTAAGAACTATGCAGTTCTAACAACTTGAACATATAATTCTAAAACTTGTAAAAAAAATGTTTTACTTCTAACTTATGTTCAGATTTTTCAAAATTAAATTAAAATACTTGAATTTTTTAATAGTTTTCTTAAAAAAATGTTATATAAAAATAAAAGACTTTTAATTGTATCAAGAGAAAGTTTTTTAAAAACAAAAATTAATTTTTACATAAACGTATGATACATAAATCTATGTGATAGAAAGATTTGGAAAAAATTAATGTGTTTATCTTTTTGAAAAAATGCATATTATTTGTTTAAAAAATATATAGACACAATCTGAAGGGGTCTAAGGAGAGCTTAGCGCCCAAAAATTTATGAAATTTACATGTATATTAATATAGAAACATTTTTAAAGAGAACATACTAAGTAAGATTTCCCAAAAATTTTGTTAAAAATGCCCTAATTAATTTTGCTAGTAACCTTACATACTGTGGAATACTTGGGACTTTTTAATGAATAGGTCAAAACATAAGGAATATACACAAGACAATTTTTATTACTCCCTTCAATCAAATTAAAAATTTAACTTTATAACGTAATTATTCAGATCATAAGCGGAGTCTGACTCCTATTCTTCATATGCTCGCTTTTGGTCACATACCATAAGTGTAGGAATATTCTTTTTTTTTTAAATACTCTAGTATGTAAAACACATTTAAACTTTACTTATACGTATAACAATAATTGTTGTATTCCAAAAATAGTTCAGTATCATTACTTAACAAAGTACTACAAGTAAGTTACAACAACAAAACTTATCATTTCCTTAGCCTCTATCACAACTATTTGGAGTCGTCTATATCTAAAAATTATTTGATAGGATTTATACAACTGCTGTGTACTTGACGCAACCTGATTGTGCCCGAGGGACCAGTATGAGGGAAGGTGTATCACTATTAAAGCTCCCTTAATGTGGTCACCCATTATGTAGCAAACAGCTCTAACATGGTGATTTAATAATTCACCGTGTTACACTATTTCCCAGCTACAAAAATGATATTAAATGTTATATTAAAACAAAAAATTGAGGAATAAGCAGTTCCATTGCCAAGTATAATTAGTATTTCTTTGTTTACTGTATATAGTATTTAACTCCAAAAAAATGTATACACATCATGTAATAGTCATAAATAATGTAAGATTATTTTGTACTAATTTTGTATAGGGAATTATATATTAAAATCCTTTTTTTACTAAAACATCATCTTAGAGAAAATAGGCAAGTATAAAATAAAAAAGAAATTTAATTTAATTTAAAGAAGGTTTTTATACAGCAAAGCACTTAATTTGTAAACCTTTGGTTATATTTTATTAACTACATACTTTTTATACAAAAATGTGTACATTTTAAATAAATACAAAATAAATTAAGTTAAAAATTTACAATAAAATTATAAAAAGTCCAAATTTATAATAAGGTAGAAAAAATGGACATTGTACTTAAAAATATATTTATTAATATCTGTATAAATGAATATTGAATGTATAGGTATGTATATATCTGTTTACATAGTGCAACATGTTAATGAATGTAAAAATTACAATAATTTATTTATGCTTATTTCTTAGATAAGTCAAAGAACTTTAAATTTGATTTCTTAGGACAATGAGTACCCAAGTATAATTCACAGATAAAAGGATTCACATGTTTAAAAATATCTACAATCTTTCTCAATTTAATATTTGGAAATTTGAATTTTTTAAATTATTTAATATACATTGTGTAAAAAAACTTTAATGTAAAAAAATGTGTAATATTAAAACAATGATTGATGCTGTTAAAGTAATTTCAATTGGATTGAAAAGTAGATGATTAGGAACACGTCAATAATAATAAATATAATACCTATAAATTTTATTTAAAAAAATTAGATTGTCATTGATTATGCATGATACCACTAATAATACTATTAACTTAAATAAATTAAAAAATAAATAATTACAATAATTCAATTTTTTAGGTTGACTAGAATTATTTGAAGCTTAACAAAAATGTAACTTGAACCTTACATCAAATTCTCAATAGCAAAATAATTAAATTACAGAATAGTCAAAAAACAAACTTGTCAGATTTTTCTTAAAACAATGATTAAAATAAAACAGGATCATTCTTAGTTACTAAGTAACTTAATATTCAATTATATTTGGATTTTATTAAAATATATAAAAAAAAATAGAGTTGAGTTTCAACAAATAAGTCATAATTAGACTAAACTCATAAATTCTCAGTCTTTAAACTTACACAGAGAGCTATACAATCACATAACTATCCCTGAATGTCACCTAACTATAATATAATAAATAATTTTAAATAAATTAATTTTGAGCATTTTTACTAGGCAAAACTATAAGTATTAGGCAAATTTCTTATAACAAAAAACAAAACAAATTGCACATATTATTGAATCAGTACCTAGGGTTGTTATAATGACGTTTATGCCTTTTTGATGACTGACGATTATTGTGATGGTGTTTAGATATAGAGGATTTATGTACACGTGGCTGTGCCGTGGCACTCATTAAATTTCCATCTAATTCTAGTTCAAATTTAGCAGTAACAATACACCTGGTCGGTGCAGTAGTTTGGTTAGATCCATTGGTGGATACAGAAGGCTGTAAAACTTTTTGTTGTGGTGCATCAACTTCAGATCCACTATCAGTACTACATTCAGATTGAATAGATGGCGATGGAGACCTAGATAATGAAATCTAAAAAAAAAAAAAACTATTAGTTATCTGATCAAAATCATCTTAGTAAATATTTCAAGGTATATACCTGTGATTTAGATTTATCTAACTGAGCAAGAGATGCAGAATGATAGGAACCAGATTCTTCAGCAATGGTAGATAATGACCCATCTCTGTGAGCAAAATGTAACCCATGTGACTTTGATGTTCCTGAAACGTTTTGTTGTTGGTGATGATATTTGTGGTGGTGTGGTTGTTGATGATGTGACCTAGATGATGGTGGTGGTGGTACTGATTGTCGAACACTAGTATAACGAGCACGCTTTTTTATAGGTTCAGGTGAAGGTGTACTAATTCGATCAGCATATTTTAAGGGTTTAATCTGTTTGAATTAGATAAAACGTATTGAATAATTTCATAAAATTTCAAAACAATAAATATAAAATAAGAACTATTAAAAATAATGTATACATACCTCTGGTGGAGGTCCAAACATAGACAAAAACACAGGTAAACAAACTAATCCATTAAATAAGCCAAAAACAGTCTTAGCAGATAGTAAAAGAAAATATGATCTACATAAAAAAGAAAAATTAGTTTATTTTGCACAAAAATCCATAAAATCTTAATAAATACCTTGAAACATAATTATTTTGAAAAATTAACATTATTATGGCTATGATGAGAGTTGCAGCCGATTGAAGAATCATTTTAGACATGTGATCCACTGATAAGTGAGTTCTTCTATGCTTATTTCCAATACTTGTGACAAAACTCTAAAAAATAATATTTTTTATTACATTTATTTCAACCTACACAACTATGACTATTTATATAAAAATCTTACCAAACAAAGATGCATAGTAAATGCTACACCAGTGCCAATAGTTCCAATTAATAATACAACAGGTATAGCACTAAATTTAATATCAGCAAATCCCATAAATCCTAATATTTGCAATACAAGTATTATTGACATGGTTGATGAAATAAGAGCTGCACGAATATTGCACAAAAATAGTCCACCAATCAGGAACAAAAATAGAAATGCAAAGGCCATAGCTACACACAAATATTGTCGAAGCTCCTGATACTGTTCCCAATAAACAAAAGGAATGCCTGACGGATAATTGGGCAGTCCTTTTTCATCATATTGTTTGCAAATGCCTCTTACTGTTGATATAAACTTAGTAATGACAGGCGTTTCATACAAATAGCTGGCATAAAATGGCATCTGGGCATAGATTATTGGGGAAGATTTGACAATTTGTAAATCATAATCATTAGCCACATGAGTCCATCTTCTTGGCTCAGGTCTTATATTTGCTTGAGATGCACCGTAAGCCAATATATCATTTGAAGCCCACGCTGTTAATAAATTATAAAATGTTTCTTCATTGATGATACCATTATCATCAACTAGTCGTGCAGTAAGTACAAGAGATTTATCAATTGGGTTGTCACTATTTCCAGTTTGAACTAGAAGTTTGTAACCAAGAATTCCATTTTCAGATGCACATGTTTCCCAGCCCTCTTGACTAATACATCCTTTATCCCAATCTTTTTTGAATGCCTTTTGCAATCCCAGTAACCATTCTCTAAATAATGTAAGCCACATCTGAGGTAATCCCCCATTATCATTTTTCAAAATATTAGGAACTCGCATAAAAGCATCATGGTACTCATATAGTAATTTTTGATTGGTTGGATATTCAAAATCACCTCTAGTTACTGCATACATGTTGTAGAATCCAAACATCTGACCATATGTTCCCAAGAACTTTTGTTCATTTGTACCATTCGGTACCATTTCAGGTAATGTTAAACCTGCTTGTATTTTTGTAATACCCCACAGGCTTACTCCTAAAATGACAATAAACAGTAATATCACTCTAATCCGACATGAACTTGTTGTCAAGTATTGCACATATTTTTGAGCTAAATCTTTTGATGTCCATTCGCAACAATGTGATTTTGCTACTACAGTAATATTATCTTCACAATCTGAACTTGCATCTCTAAAGTCTTTTAATAAGAAATTAGATGATTTAGGTGTTGGTAAATCAGTTTTTCTACTGAATTGTCGCATTTGTTCATCAATAGTGCTAGCTACACCTAGTGACTCTTTAGTGTTAAAAAATGGCCATTGTAAGTCTTCAGATGGAAAACAACAAAAAATATCAATTCTTGCACTTCGCCTTCTACGCACATCAAAGCTTATGAGTGAAGTTACACCAAAAAAAGTGGTGGTCAATATGAATGCAATTAATATAGCAACTTGGAGGCAAAATGCTCTAAGCGCAGGGATTGGAACCACAGCTGCAGTCAAAAAAGTTGAAATGGTGATCAATGATGTCATGAGTATATTTGTTCCTGCAGATTTTAATACCATTCCCACTTGTTTTTTTCCCAAATGGCTACCATATTTTTGAGTAACAGGATCAAAGCCATGACTTGATACTCGTTTATAACTGAACATCAATAAAAACATATTATTTACACCCAAAGCAGATGCTATTGAAATAGCAACCTATAAAAAATATTAAATACAAAATGAATTAATATTTTCAATATTCTTGAGTATATATTAAACTTACAGCAATGGTAGCGGAATGTATTTGAATACCTATAAGACAGCAAAATCCTATCCCAGATGCAATCGAAAATACTATCAATAACAGACTAAATAAGCCAATAATAAGTTGTGATCTGACAGCATCAAATAAATTTATTTGCATCACACTAACATATAAGATCTGAAATTTTTAATTATTTACAAACCAAATCATGAAATATGAAATGTAATCTAAGAATCTTACCATGATTAAGCAACCAATGTAAATTAATTTTGGATCCAAAAAATCATATTGACTTAGTAAATCATTTAACAACATTGTGGAAAACGTAAAAAAGTTGTATGGCGTCATCGCAGGACTTTTCAGCACTTTTTTTACTTCCTAAAAAAATAATAATAATTAGCCCTGTATTTTATTTTGTTCAAATTGTTTGTTACGAACTTCATTGAACTTTTTCTGCCACGTTTTAAGAACTAAAGCTGCTTTTTCTTGGTCCCAAGAAAAATGTAACACCTTATAACTTTGTGACCAAAACTCATACAACTCTTTTTCACCCATTAGTTGTAAAACTGATTGAAGTGCTTCAGCTCTATTAATGTGTTAAATAAAAAATTAGAACTCGTAAAAAAATGTATTTAATTTTATAAATATAAATTACTTTTGAATGTAACCAGTTTTGTTTTGAACAATACCACCCAAAATTAATTCTTTTGGCCAATGCATATATTTACTGGCAAAACCTCGACAACCGTTAGCTAATTCAGCTCCAATATCAGGAATCTAAAAAAAAAAAAAAATTATTTAATAGATTCTATTAGAATCTACTATTTTTAACCAATTTCTCCTCTATAGGATCTCTGGAAGTTTATCAAAAGTTATTAACTTTTTACTCCGACATTTTTAGAATATAGTATTCCTAGTTAATCATTTTATTTAATGATTATGTATATATAATCTATTTAAATCTATAGTTTCATTAGAGCTGATTACTCCTAAGAAAGTTATTTCCTGTTTACTATTTTATCATTGAGAAAAAAAAGTTATATGCGTATATCCAACGTTGTTACATGATTATAAACACATGTACTCTTACAATTAAGTACTCGTAAATTTAAAGCAAACACTTCAATGGATAGGATGTATGTCACAACAAATAACCGTATTATCTTTTAATACGACGAAGAAGTTTTTATAGATACTAAAAACCTTTTAATTATCGTTGCACAATCGTATTATTTAACCCGTATAATAGAGACATTGTGTAAAGAGGATGTGGGTACAGGAAATATGGGCGTTGACGTCCCTTCTAGCGTCTAAATCCATGATGTAGAACTAACATTATAATTAAGTAAAATATTTGTTTATCGTACACTTAAATTAATATAACTGGCCTCTTAACACATTTGTTATGCGTATAGAAAATGATATTAATATGTTGTATCTGTCTCAGACAGAGATGTTTTCTCTGAAATCCGAAAACTTATTTCATTCCACTGATGTGGGCACGCCGACATATTTCTTTTCTCCTACACAATTAGACCGTATGCCGTTCGAGTTCTAATAAAAATTGTCAACTGTGCGAGCCCATAGAGTTACCACAAAAGAGATAAATAAACAAAGATTTGACGAAGAGAATACGTGAAAAATAACAGATACGAAAAGACTGATTTAGAATAGACATCAAAATTGCAAAAAAAAGTACTTTTTATCGTAGTGCTATAAAGCTGTTTCGAACAGCCGACGGCAAACGTAAAATGATGAATGCGTATCAACACAAGGCATGTGTAACTTAATCTGACTAACAATGTGAAATACCGCCGCTTTGTGAATTGTTCCATTCACACTACTATTATACCTTTACAGACACTGGCGGTGGAATACAGACCCTTCAAGAATGTGACTCGTGTAGCAGGTGAACTACCGCCGCCCGACGATTTTTGAATTTTTTTTTTTTTCCGCGACCATTTATATTGCATACGGGGTCCAGGGGATACGTGCGGCGAAGACGTAAAATTATGATCAGGTAAAGTCACGGGTTAGTGTTACGGATGAAGGCATTCTGGGAACACATCAAAAAAATATAATGACGCGAGGATGAAGCTGTTCAGGATTCGTTGCACACACGCGGCCCAAAAGAGATGGAGACCTCCCATGAAGCAGACCGGCGCTGAGTTGCCATTTACACGGAACGCGCGCTATCATACACACACACACACGCCACATAAACAGACGGTTATATATCTACATAAACGCCAAAAATATTAAACGTTTTTGTGATTTATCGTTACAGTTTCATTATCCGATAGCGCATAATGCATTAGTGTTTATGGTAGAACAAGAGCTTTATAACGTAAATAGCGGATTATTTTTTTTTTTTTTTTGACTTCTAACAAATTGGCCCACCAACATCGATAGGACCACCTCGAAATTTCAACAAAAAAATTCATACGAAAAGAGAGAATCGCACAATTTGCATTTCCATGAATAATGTTAAACGTTAAGAATTCATTTTATCAAAGCGTATGAACCGATATTGTTTAATACATTACACTACAGTCGAGTTTACTCAAAAACATACATTTTTCAATTTATCGTCATGACATAATATAGAAAGTGTTTCAAAAGTCTGTCGACGTAAATAAGTCTTAATGTTGGTAGGATTTTATTAAGAAAATATGAACATTCAACGTTAAAAGTAGACAAGAAAAATCAAATTAAAAATAATTTTAGAAAATGTATCGGTTCTCTACTTGAGAAGAAAGAGGGCAAAAATATTAATTCGCTCAATCGTAAATTATCCGAGGAACAAATGTTTCCCCTTGCCCTCCGCCAGTTTGTGTCCAAATGTTGAATACGTACTAACTAACCGATCCGTTTAATAAAAATAACTTACTTTAATCTATTTATGGCATATCACTGTATACTTTTTTGAATAGTGTAATAAAAATGTAAGGTGGTATTGGTGTTTTTTTTTTTTATGCGAAGGAATGCCTGGGTGCTGTGCATTGTGTGTAGCCCAAGGCCTATTACCTTAACCATAATGAAGGCATCACCGACCAAGAATGATGGCTCCAAAGTGGTGTGTGTGGTCTCCAGGTTCACTAGTATACCGTCTTCAATTACCCTGGGCAACGAGAGATAAGAGAAGAGTAGGGAGACCATGCGAGCGAGTCTGTTATATGTGTTTGGCTATGACAAGACATGAATAGGCTTCGGTGAACACAATGCCTCCCAAGAGGTCTTTGTTATGCAAATAAGTTAAACATATATGTTATCTGGGGGGCCTAAACGTTACATATTGGCCAGATATTACACTCACTAATGTATTCGAGACTTATGATAGAAACTAAAAAAAAAAAAAAATACTAAGTGTACGAACGTTAAGAGGAAATAATACATGCTACTACTTTTCCTTTTAAAGAGAATGTTTGACCTAGAAAAATATTGTAACAAAAAGTATAAACAAGCATCATTCTTGAGATTTGTTTAAAAAACCTAAATATCATCATTTCTACATTAAAAACAAAAATTTTCTTTAAATGTACTTACTTTTTTTGTTTTTTTGTTTGGGGATGTTTCTGGGCAGTCTGGGTCATCTGGATCCAAACAAAGTTTTTCTTGGTAACCGGAATTAATTCCTGCCTAATTATAACCCAAATAAAATAAATCAATAGTACATTTCATTATTTTCACGATAAATTTATTAAAAACACTTACTCGTTTCATATAAGTCTCTAGCATGTCAAATGGAAAGGTAGTGTCACCCATTGCTTTTATAGATTTCATTAGGCTTTGAGGATTTAAATTGGTCCACTTTATACCATTTCCGACACCACTGTGAAAATAATTCGCAAAATTAATAAAAAGTCATTAAGTTTTACTTTGAAAACGAAAAATAATACGGTACTTACGGAACTGTAACAGGATTTTCTGGACCCAAAAGTTTAGAACCTTCCCAGAAACAATCAAGGGGGGTAATTATTTCACAAGGCATCATATTTTCAAAAATCTGAAACGAAACACCAGCAGAACGTTTTAATTTTGACAAATAAATAACAGAAAATCGCTCAGAACTTACGGTATCTATATAGTGGACTTCGAAGTCCGGAGGGCTAGGCGACACACAGATGTCTTTGAGACTCCATGTCCTGTATTCAAAAAAATAATTATTAAAAAACAATCAAATCGAAGTTAAATATTTAACATACACGTCAAACAGATTGACGGTGACATGTGAAGCCGCTTTGAGCAGCTGCAGGTGAGCGAGTAAGGCTTTTCTATGGAGGAGTCGTTGCTGGGGAACTTCCGGTGAAGTAGCTTCTTTGGCGGTTTGCGTGACCAACAAATGGATGACACTTTCCGTCTCTCCCAATGCCGATTCCGAATAACGCAATTCTGTTTCCAAACGACCTCCCGCTGTGATCAAATGTTTCAATTAGTTTCAAATAGAAATAATTACATGCTTTTGGTGACTTACATTCCACCCATAGTTGGTCGAATTGAGTGTTTCTGTCGAAGGCTTTAAATCCGGCCAACAGAACTCCGAGGCCCAACAATAGGGGGAGGAAGAACACATGTGTTTTACGATGGATAGATCTACCCAGTCGCTCCAAACACTTTTGTTCCCAAGCTCTGAACCGCACAGCGCACAGACGTCCCACCGCTTTGCCCTGAAAACATACAACACGTTTAATGTTACCGATTACGTCTTTTTTATCCGTCTATTATGTTTGGGTAATCGGTGAGGCACCGAGTGTTAACGTTTTTCTTGAGTATTTTAAGTTGGGGTATACCGATATAAGCAAACATACCCCAACCATACAGTATTGCCAAACCGTACATGGTTTTACTCCAATAACGATACATTTCGTTCAGAAAAAATATTTAGTTATTAAAGAAACGCGACATATTTGTTATAGTATAAATATATGATAATCGTTTAAAAATATTTTTATTATCACAAGTTTTCTATTCCAATGATTTGTTGTTTTAAATATACATTTTTCAATTAAATTTACTGATATAACATTAAAATAAGATTCTAGTACTGTTAAATAAACACTTTGAAAACGACACAACAGTTTTAAGAACGTTGGATAAAATAATAGTAAAAATATGCTATGGCCCGAATAGGGTTTAATGTTAATAATAAAAAGTTATCACACTTTTATAATGATTATACACAACAACACAAAAAAAGATACGAGAATAAATACGTCCTGTGGAGAAAAATAGTATGAGAACCACTGTTGTGCGATCAGTGGGAGCAATGTGCCAGCTGGATGTAACTTCCTTAACGCGTTTATATACATATATATATGGGGACCACATTGTGTTGTGTGAAGTCATGAGGACCACCCAGACACCTCAATCACAGGGAAAGAGAGACCGGGGCTTGGTTGCAACATATAATCATTCCTAGTAGCAACGGGCCGCCCAGAGTGACCGCGTGTAATGGAATATACAAAATATTTGAAACGCGCAAAACGCATAGATTTTATTACAAGTGAAATTTGCTTACGCTAACTTTACCACAGGAGAACTCTAAAATATACCAATAATTTCGGATCATAACGCAAGCCGTATTTTATGGAATTTGAACGAAAGGGAAGAGTACAACTTAATTCAGTTGTTGCAACAACCGTTAACCGATATGCCAAGTTTTACCTAGAAATCTAATTAAAACGGTTATGATGTCTGTAAAATAACTTTCAAATTTGTCTTAAAACAGCATAAATTCAATGGGAGTTAATTTTACAAAGAATTCGAAAATAAATCGATTTACCTTAAATAGGTACAAGTGTTTAATGGAGCGGCAATTAAGAATACAAAAGAAATCCAATACATGTAAATAAAAATACATAAAGGATCATTTTAACATAAAAAATTACCCACGAAAGTAAATTTTGGGATCATGTGTGTATGTGGGGTAGGTCTACAGTCTCAAACAACCCAAGTATCCCATTTTTTTTTTCTTTTTGTATTCTCAATAGGTATACAATTTAATAATTGAAATTTAATTGCGCTTGACGTCCCCTCTACAAACTATTGCTCGTAATGACTAATTATCACAGGAAACACTGATTGTTAAACTAACAATCTCAAGTGTTATCCATTACTTGTAACTGCCATATTGTTGGTTCGATGTTGAATGTTTGTTAATTAATCGGAATATTTAGCTTATATATTCATAGCGTTTTTTGTAACACATAATTGTAACAAAACATTTGAAATATGTACCTTTTCAATTTGCCTACGTGCGACCTGTGCATCTTGAAAAGTGGTCCTCACGTACAAGTCCAGTACAACGTGGTCGACCATATCTCCACCGCATCACTTTTAATCGAAAGTATCCTCATTAGGAAATAATGATTTAGAATTGTAAGTCATATAAAACGTAAAAATGGTTTGTCTATAAAATAATGACAGCACTCGACACACTACGGTATAGAATGTATATGGTTGTACAAGTCGCCAACGGATTTTCAAGTAATACCAACACCGATTAAGTATTTTACGATTTCTAAATATTACGTAAACAACAAAACACAGCGATGACACTGACCACGTAACACAATTTAATTATTATGTAAAACGATAATTAAGCTTAAAACATAAATAACAACATTTAAAATATCCGAAGCGTCGGTCGGTCACAAGACGTCGTACACTCGTCCAACGGAATGCGATCACTGACTGGTGAGTACCGAGTACGAAGACTACTTGGACGAACGGGTGACGATCTCCGGGTTTGAGACGGTACAGGGGACAGATGGCCGAATTTCTCCCTCCCAACAACCGTTGTTACAGTGCTGCCGTTTGTACGATAAATATTGCGCGCATCCCAATATCTACTTACTTAGTACTACTATGGAACAAGGCTACATGGCCATAGAAGTGACTGCGTTACGTGAATTGTAAACCGTTTATAGCTTTGGATTTCACATTGAAAATAAAAAGACGAATAGACAATAAAACGCATATGAGTAAGAAGAGTAAATAATACTTATATATAAATTTTTTTTTATTAACTCGTACTAATTTGTTGGAAAAATTGTATCTACTATTTTCTTGTTGTTATTTTACCGAACTATAGATTAAATGTATAATAACTTTAATGTTAAAGATCTCGTAACTTCATCAATTAATTGACAAAACTCAATTGACTCGATATATAAACCATCAAATCAAACTAATTATTAGTTCTTACAGACGTTTAAATGATGGAAAATTGATTAGTTGAGTCGACAACTCCGTTAATATGTTTAAATTATATTCGGTTATCACATTACAATATAGTCATTAAAATTATTAAATTAATAAAACATACTAACATAATCGTAATGATAATACAAGTCGGTTGCCAAATGTTTGATAAATATTATTATCACTAAATATATAATTTAAGCCATTGACGAATCATTATTTGCTTAATAATATAATTCACTTGTACGAGAAAAGATTTCCAGAAGATTCTAAAATCGTTTATTAGAACGCCGACCACTCGAAATTGTAAATGATAAATTAAGTATAAAAAAAACTGTACCGAAAAAAGTATACTTTGAAAATAAATTGTTTTATTAGCAATTAAATTGACAAATGGGTTTCTTTGTATTTTGTACATTTAACGCGTACAGTCAAGGTATTTATTATGTTTTTTTTTTACAAAAAAATCAATGAGCGGAAAACGCAGATGCGATCAATCGTTTATAATAAAGTTCGTGTTGTTTGCAAACAACGAGAATGACTTTCCTATGGGATACAAATTACGACACACGATCGGTCGGCTACGAGATCACAGTCCGCCTATAGACCGGGACGTATGAAAAAATAAAAAAAATAAAAAGTTTGATATTCTCGGTCCGGTTGACCGCCTCGGATGATAAATACACGTCGTTGACGGCGGCGGCGGCAGTGTAGCGGTCGGTTGTGTGCCGCACAGACCGTTTGTACGTGGGGCCAACGGACCGTGTCAAATGTACCGCTTTTGACGTAGGAGAGCTGCCGCCGATATAAATTCTTGAATTTTTCCACCGTCCGCCCGTCGTCATTCATTGTCAGCATACGAAGCGTACGGTAATTTGTGATTGTCCGATTCCAGTCATTAGGACCGCCGGCACCGGGTCCTGCGACGTGTACAACATTTATGTATTCCTCCGCCGATACACCAAATGCCACTAGTAGTTCCGCCCCCCAAGACCGTATACGATTTGCCGTGTGCGCTGTGCATACGGACACGTTTTTTAATCGTAATAATAGAAAATAACACGGTACTACAAGTTTATTAAAAGTGCGTAATACGACTGAGCTCACAATCGAAAGCCGACGGTAGTAGTTGAAATGGGAGAGCCGAAGAAGATATTAAACATTATAATTTCTGTGCTGACTACTCTGATAAACTGAACCATCCGATTTAACATCAATCGCAATATTTTCAATTTAAATGGCTAAGGGTTCCATTTTATTCAAAAATATATCGACGACGAAAGGGAGATGGGCTCGTTTAATAAATTGCAACTTTATCCAGTGTTATTAGGTCTTCTCGAGCCTTGTATCTTCGGCGGATACAAGAAGCACATTGGAGCAGCGGTTTCCTGCAAAATTATTTTGTGTTTGTGCCTGGTATCAACCCCAGGAATGGTACGAGGGGAGCCAATTGAGACACTTGTCGTGGTATTACTGAAAGCTCCACGTAAATTGTAATTCTATTTGCCCCACAAACGCTTCCGCCATCGCAGATCGACCCAACATTAGTTTATTTAAAATTCATTTGATTAAGTATAACAAGTTATAATAAGAATCCATAATTAGTAGTGATTAAACTCGAAAAATACAGTATTCTATTGTATTTTAAGTAATTTTTATCATGCGAGAAAAATCAAAGAAAAAAAATTGTACTCCGTTTTAAATATTGAGATTATTTGCGGTTTTAATTTTACTTTTAAAAGTTATTTCGGCTAAATTATTAAGAAAATATTTTTTAATAAAATAAATATGGCACTTTAATTTGGTTCGAAACTTTTATTTAAATCACGAACAACGTGACAGAGGAACTATTATTTTGAACTACAAAAAAAATTAAAACCGTGGGAACAAATAAATAACTTAATGATTTACAGATGAATAATTAGGTTACTCATAGTTTAATTTGAAATAAACATATGATTAGTATTATCTGGCAATCATATTTTAATGCACCAACATTTGCAGCCAAAAACAAAACAGACCTCATTAAATGCAGTTCAGCCAACATGAACAAGTCATGATTATTCAAAGTCTTGACGTGTAACTTGTAACTGTACGTGATTTTAATAAAATTTCAAATCTTAATGAAACAAAATTTGATTTTTAATCCGTTTACGTCAACTGATTTTCTGTTAGAAGAGACAAATAATTCTCTTGTATACTTTTAAAAAAAGTTACATAAATATGAAAGTCGTATAATATATATAATTAATAGTTGATCGCTTTTTATTAATATTTATAAAATCAAAAAAATTAATTTAAAACTATGAAATATTAAACATAATTAAGTCAAAAAGCCACAAAAAAATTACTACAATATCACGGATACATATTTCTAGAATAATATTACCTAGTTAATATTATTAACTATTAATAATAAACAATGTTTAGCGTCGATGTATGTGTTTAGTAAAGACATACATATAGTTGTGTATGTATTCTATATAATATATTATATAGTATACAATCTGACTACATTTAATTCTTACATCGTATACTAGTTAGATGATAATTTTTATAGACCTATGCGCATTGTAAGCATCAGAGGGTCTTTTTTATATTCACTAGTGTAGAAAAATTAAGATTTTTTTAAAAAAATATGCATTTTCCATTTCAGTTTTTTATTGATTTTATTGTTAATAAAATATTATACATGAAAATCAGGAACAATTCGAGAATTTTTCAATGTAAGGTCGCAACATTTTTTTAGACAATTTTATAAATCAAAATATGTTTTCTAAGTAGGCGATGGTAGTTCAAGGAAAAGGCGTTCACTCTTTGTTTTCTCCCCCTAAATCCACCACTGATAAAAATATATCCAAAATTGTTATTTCTAAAAAGTAATGACAATATTGGACATAACGCATATATAATATCTTATTTAATTTTATTATTACAGACCCGAAAAATTGATTCGATTATAATACTAAATTAATTCGATTGACCTAATAATAGAACTAATCTATATCGAATCCACAAACACACTTAAAGTCTCTTTTGTCTTATTTATTTAAATCGGCAACACGCTGGAAATACCTTGAGTTTTAATGCTTCAAAACATTTCACGATGAAACTATTAGCAGTAGTGACTTATGTCGTTATTCCGCAGTAAATATTTTCAATACAACATAATTTATTCTCTGTAATGAGTAAAAATGAGTTTCATTTGTAATTATCTCATTAATCAATAAATCATTTATCTCAAAGAAAATTCAAAGAGGTAAAATATTTAACTGTTTTTTTTTTACTACAATAAATACAAAACCTCGTATTCATAAAGTAATCTTTACATGGATCGCCTACCATCTAATAACTGTTAAAAAAAAATTATGGGCAATAGACAGAGGCGGCTCTAATCATGTACGACCGGAAGAAGGGGAGGGGGAGAGCTAGTGAGATATTAGTGGAAGGCCTAACCCCATTTCGAGGGTGTTCCTCGTGTGTGGTCCTTCCGATAAACGAATGCGAACGTATAGGTTTCTAGTAGCCACTAGTCGATGCCGTCCCGCTGATGGTGGCGCCGATGTGTATTTACATTTTCCCTCTCCGCCTCCTTCCGTTCAGCAACTATATTCTTCTTAGTATATTATCATTAAAACTGGTATTAACATTATAATAAATATAAATACATGTATTATGTAGTTTATATCATGTGGTAATGCCCTGAGATGTTTTATTAATAAAGACATGATCGTTTCTGTACATTTAAAAATAACCTTTTTTTTTTTTTATTAAGTTTCATAACGCAAAACTCTTATCGCTGTCACTCGAATATTTTTAAAATGACAGAAGATTATCAAAATTAATGAAAATAATAAAAGTGAAATTTAAGCGAAATTATATGATTTTCGTAAATGTAAGACATTTCATTAATAATGTGACATCCTGTTAATATGGCGGTTGTCACGAGCATACACCCAGAGAAAAACCTCGATCTATATAATAAATTCATTGTTCAATTTGATAAATATATCATTACTATTGAAACTATGATAATTTTTTTTCTTGTCTTGAACAATAATTATTTATAAGAATAATTATTTTGTTCGTATTAATAAAACATTATCATAAACCCTTAATAAAATTTCTCTATCAAAATTGATTGAGGTTTTTCTTTGGGTGTAGGCGGCACATATTTCAGAAGAACTACAATACAATTTTATGAACAATTTATTTGAATCATATCTCTGATAATATATATATAAAGAATCCAGCGATATAATAATCATCCCAAGAAGAACTTTGTTGAAGTTGTGTTTATGGCTTTATTAAAATACACAATTGATACGTTCGGAAACGGGCGAAGAAATGATTTCGGCCCACATCACATGGTAAATAGTATTACGAAGAACCCCTGTTGATATTCGACCTAGCAAAATACATCTGATGACTGTATATTGAGGTTTTTTTTTTTTTTTTTACAATCCTTTAGAGCCCACAACACATATTCTTGTACTCAAGAATACGTGTTTGTCAACTGTTTACAG